ATCACCAGCTGTGCCTTGGAAACTTACACAGGGTTGCTAAGGGTCGGAACCAACTTGACGACACTTAACAACAACAGCCAGGTACAGGAGGAGGGAGAAATGGAGGAGTTAACAGTGATGTGAAAATTGCAATGATTAAAGGTAGGATTACACAGCTGGTTATTATTAATTGTCTACCTGTAAAAATTGAAGTGACAAAACTTGCATGGTAGATACATTTACAGGGATCCAAAAAAAAAGAAAGAAAGAAACTGAAGAAACTGTAAGGCAGCTTATGTACAACCAAAAACTTACGGAATTTCTTGGTTACGAGGTTTTGGGTAGTCGTTTCATGGGACATCTCAGTTACTTGGCTTAGTAACATGTTTTAGTGTTTGTATTATGTCTCCTTGTTTCATGTGTAGTGCCTGTGATCTTAAAAGTTTGCATGTGGCCATCCATAGCACAGCAGTTGTTTTTGTTTGCCATGAGCAACAACAGAGGAAGGAGAGTCAGTAATAGGAGGAGGATATATGGAAGGTGGCCTACATGAATAACTGCCTCCTTTGCCATTAGATCAGAAGAACAAGCTGGCACCCAGCTATCATTACTGAGCAATTGATAAAACATTCTATATGAGAATCCTGATCAAAAGGAGGGAAATGAAGAACAGAATTTCAAATTCTTATGGATTCCACACTGTCTAGAGCCAAGAATGCTAATAAGTGAACTCCTGAAAATACTACCCTGAGATAATCTTTAAAATGTAAACCAAAAGCATTCCATAAAATCTTCTAAAAACAACAGTTTAGCTTCACTAATGTCTGCCTTGAACATTATGCTCTTTAGAGTACTATGTAGAATAAAGTTACATTAGCAATTCAAAAGATGGTATAGGAACCTTAGGGGGCAGTAAGTGAATTTATTTAAATGAGGAAGAAATAACTCAGAAAAGAAATGTGAAAATGGTTGTACAATTCTAAGAATATTATCAGTGTCTCTAAATTGTACATGTAGAGATAGTTCAATTGTTGTACATTTTGCTGTGTATATTCTAAGTTTATCAAGTTATTTACAAACCGTGTTTTGTATATTCCAGTTAATAGGACAAAATCCTGGGTCTGCTATTAACAGTCACTTCCCCTAACAGGACAGACCATCTGTATGCGTTCTTCATTCAGTGGAGTCCAGAAATATATGCAGAAGATACTGGTGAATATACTAGAGAGCCTGGATTTATAGTAGTAAAAAAGATCGAGGAGTCTGAAACAAATGAGGATTCTACTAATGAAGCAGCAGCCAGAGAATGGGAGGTAAGAAGAAGAATATCAAGATTTCTTTCATCTTTTTAATTTGTATGAATTTAAAGCTTTAGGGTAATACAATCAAGTCCAAGTGATCAAAAGGATAAGTGTTTTAACCTCTCAGATTCACCGTATGTTTATTGAATGGATTTGAGTAGTAGTGTTAATTCTGTTTGTCATTTTGCTTTTGCTTTAAAATCCTGGAAAAGAAGCCTATTGGTAATAAAAAGACTTTAGGATATTTAATATAAGATAGACCAACCTTTCATCAAAGAAAATAGTAATCATTATTATACTAATTTTCATAAGGTATTTGTATTTTATGTCTGATTCTTTTAAATTAATATTATGTCTGTGCTTCATAGAGGAGGTACACTAATCATTTAACATACCCCTGAAAATTAGCATTCCTTTTCTAAGTTCAAGACCCAAGCATTATCTTGATGTAATTTTTAGTAATAACAATATTAGAGAAAGTAGTTAATGCCAATTTTACAAAATACTAACAGTTTTATGTGCAGACTTCCTGAAGGTGTCTAATTGACTGAATTAATACTAATCAGCTTTTCAGTCCCTCTTATATTTATCTTTTAAAATTGTATATACAATTTTAAACATGCATTATCCTTTTTTATAGAATTGGTAGGATAACAGTATGTTTTTGGTTGGTGGTGTTATCTGGACTAATCTCTTCATAATACATTGAAAATATAGAGCAGATGCTAAAATGTGATAAAAATTGGTATTAAATTTTGTTGTCTCCATTTGGTGTTAATGTTTGTGGGTGTCTGTGATATGAATGTATTATGCATGTATTTAACATGTATAATGATTGAAAGCATTCATGGTATATCTTTTGTTTAAATGTGGAACTGGTTTTGAAGGTGTCTGATTTCATTCTGTGTAGTAATATAGCATTGGTTTCTACTGTAAATCTGAAAAAGAGAAAAAAGGGAGAGAAGTAGCATTCATTGAGTATCCATTAAGTTTCAGGCTTGTTTAATACTGCAAAAACCAAAAGGCAGTCAAGTCTGACTTCCTCAGGCTTCACAAAGGAAAAAGAGAAGCAAACTCAAAACCAGCCCAAGGCCGATTCCTATGAGGTGGAGCTCAGACCTACCTCCATCTTTCAACTTTCTTTACCCTGTTTTGACACCAACCATCCCTTCCACAGCCCTCGGTACTTCACATCTGGGTTTGACAATTTCTCTCTGTTTCACTGCCTCTGCCATCGCTTCTGCTGTTGCTACTTTTCTTGGTAGGGATCTCGTGATCCTCTCATGCTTTTCCTTCTTGATGGTCCTGGGATTGTCTCTTCCTGCTTTTGAGATGGCTCCTCGTGAACCTAGCTGAATGGCAAAACTAACCAATCCCAGCCTCAGAGTTCTGTATACCTTTTTCTGCATGGCCCCACCTAATCATGTGGTGGGAATCAAGAAGACACTGTATAGAAAAGTCCTATCAAGTAAACCCAATGTATCACAAATACTTAAATCAGTAGTATTATTCTACAGAGTGATTTTAGTTCCAGTAGCTGGAAACTAACACAACTTGAATGACATGGATACATTTTGATGTATTCTAAAGATCAACCTCTATCAGTAAAAAGAAATACCTACTGGTATTGACAACAATATGGGCGAATCTAACAGATAGTACATTGAATTAAAGAAGGTAGGCACAAGAGTATATACTGTAGCACTCCACTCACATGAAGTTCACAACAGCAAAACTGTCAGATTAATGCTTTCTGAGGGAACCCTGGTGTGGAACTATAAGATAAGCACTAGACTGCTAACCAGAAGTCAGCAGTTCAAACTCACTAGTCATTCCTTGGAAACCCTATACAGGGTTACTGTGGGTGACTAAAGTAACTAAGAGAAAGTAGATAATCTTATAGAGTGCTGGAGATATTCTAAATTTTAATGTAGGTGGTAGTTATACCTACATTTGTAAAATGTACATATGTAAAAATGTGTGAGCTATGTAAGCGTCATAATTTAATAATATCATTAATTAACAGTTAATAACAGTTAAAGTGATCTAAGATGAATGCCTGCATTAGAACGTTTCTTTGGCTACATTTGCAATACTACTGTTTAGTAATGCATACTTAGTTGGTATTGTAAAGTAGGTATTGTAAGTATTTTTTCAAGGTATTATATATTAATATAAAAACTTATGAGCTATGTAAGATTAATAATTGAATAATTTAATCATTAACAGTTAATAGTTCAAATGAGCTAAGATGAATGCTTGCATTAGAGCATTTGGTTACATTTGCAATACTACTGTTTAGTAATGCATACATAGTAGGCCTTGTAAATACTAAGTATTTTTTCAAGATATTATAAGAAAATACAAGATAAAAATGGATGTATTAACAGGCAAAAGCATTTTCAGACCACTTTAAATAGTTGTGTAAATTTTATTTTTAAATAGACAGAATTGGTTTTTATATCCTACATAATATAAAGAATCCTGGTGTAGTGCTTTAAGACCAGCACTGGACTGCTAACCCCAAGGTTAGTGGTTTAAACCTACCAGCTGCTCCTTGGACAGCCCTCAACAACAACAACTATAACCTAAGTAATGATGGCTCCTCATAGGATATGCTGTTATTTAAAGATGATTAAAAAACGTTCACATAAAAGATAAAGTTTTATAGGATTCTTAAATATAAATAAAGAACAGACTTTTATGACTGAGCAAACAAGTTAATTGAAATCTTTGTGTATTTAGGAAAGGGCTCTGAAAACCATATTTGCTACGTGTGTGTGTGTGTGCGCGCGCGCGCACGCTGATGATTGAAAATGCAAGCTCTGTTTCTTTAAACTTTGGAGCCCTTTCTTTGCACGTTTGGGTACCGGTGTGTGTGTGTGTGTGTGCGTGCATGCTGATGATTGAAAATGCAAGCTCTGTTTCTTTAAACTTTGGAGCCCTTTCTTTGCACGTTTGGGTACCGTGCAGCCAAACTTAAGCATGGGAAACCCTGTCTTCCCTCCCAGCTTTTCATTCTCCACTCAGGATATCTTTGCATTGGATACTACTTAGTGATTAGCTCTCTGTCTTGTCAATCATATCTTTTTCTCTAGCAAACTGTTTTGTCACTGTAGTAGTGCTCTTGTGCTGGAACTGTATCTTTGATAGAGGAAGAATGCTTTAAAAACAGTTCTCATGTGATTTGATGAAATTTAATTGCCTAAGAAAGGAAATGTCTCGTCTCTGGTATGGGAAAAAAGGGAGAAGACACCAACCAATTAATCATAAATACACTCTGGTAAATCTTAGTTATTTAAATTTCTATATATACTAGTTGTTGTTTTTTTATATTGGCATTATGCAAAATTCTATGATTACTAAAACTTTAAGCATATAGAAAATATTTCTAGAATACAAAATTATATACTTATTGCAAAACTGTATCTTTAAATTATTTGTGCTAATACCAAATATTTTCTAAAAGAAAAAAGTAGGACTATGATTTTATTTTATAAAAGTATATTCTGCACCATCAGAAAAGCACTGTATCTTTACTGCTGCCTGGATATTTGATTCTAAGCATAACTTTATAGATAGCACGTAGAGCTTTTCTTATGAACTAGAAATTACAACTTTAAATTTTATTCTTTCTTTTATTGGAATTTTTTTGCATGTTTTATAGAAATGTCTTGTCATTTACAAATTTTTGGCATACATATAACTTTAGTTATTCAATAATACACATATGTCCTTGCTGAAAACTATAGTAGAACACAGTGAGTTAACTTTTATTTTAATTGACTAAATCTCTTACTAAATGCATGTACACTAGAATCAAACTAGATACATATAGAATATTGTATATCTGAGCTTCTGATTTTAGCAGTTCTAGAAAGAGCTTTTCTTTTAAATTATTCAAAAAGTTTTCAAGCAGTGCTATGTTTCATAAAACATTAAAAGATAGTCTGGTAATGGAAAATCTCAGTTAATTATTTTGAAGTATCAGTTATTTTTCATTATAGATATGTATACATTACTTATTAATATATGCTTCCAATTGTTCTTTTTGTGGTGATTCAGAGTTATATCTTACCTTGTGAATATTAATTTATTTTTTTCTGTAATTGTAGATGATTTAAGTAAGGCCAGATCTGTAATGTGGAAAATACACCCCAGAACACTTTGCTTAACTTAAACATGTGAAAATAACAAAACCATTTAAGTTGCGGTTTTCTTTATTGAACTTGAGAGCATTTTGTTATATATTTTTTAAACGTGAATAAATTCAAGTTTTTGTATTTAGGTACATCACTAGAGTGGGATTTAATGAAATGATAGGATTATTTTTCATCAGGTTTTAGTAGGTTAACCAGTTAACATAGCCTATTTTTGTTTTGTTTTAAACCGAGAACAGAAGCTATTCATGTTTCTGATTTGCAATTTGAATAAATGTTTACATTAGTGTCTTAACATTTTACAACATTTTACTGCAGTTTAATTTTCTATAAATACAGGAAAAATAAGTTTTAGATGTTTTAAGTTTTTTTAATAGGTCAATGTAGTATACATAAATTATTACACTCACCAATTCCTGTTGTTTGTACTTATAGGTAGTTGTTATGTAACACTGTCAGATATTCTGTCTCATGCCTGTCACTGGTCATTTCTGGTCTTCAACGCTATACATACAGTTTGTATGTGTGTTGTGTCATTTAACCTTCATCATCATCTTGAAATGTCAATAATATCACTGTTCATTTTATAGATGAAGAAACTGATCTAGATTCTCATGGAGCGCTGGAACCTTGAATCTAGTACCTTTTTTTTTCTTTATGACTATGCTCGAGCATCTTCTGAAGTGTTACAGTGTGATGTGATGATATGTAGACACGTTTAGATCCACTTTCTAGCCATTTCCCTAGGGTGAAAGTAGATAACCCTGGAATTGAAGAGTAGGCGTAAGCTTGAAAAGATAAGATGTAAAGGCTTACTATCAGCTCTGCCTTTTATTTTATTTTGAGATTTCC